CCATCTGCCTCATCCTCCACATCCCCTTCCTCCCCCAGTCTTCCTTCTCCTCCCAGTCCTGTCCCCTTCGCACGGCGCCAGTCGGGGGTCGTCCGCCGACCTAGGCTTATTCTCAGCACCACTTGGTGAAGACCCAGCCGCTGATCATCCATGGGAACGCCTGCAAGCAGAACATGTACAGCATTGAGGGCTCCTCAATAGTTGGTCTGAACGGAAAGGGGGTCGCAAGATGATGAGGAGGCACGGGGAGGAGCGGATGGGGAGGAGGAGGAGGAGGAGGAGGAAGAGGAGAAGTAGGAGGAGGAGGAAGAGGAGGAGGAGGGGGAACATGTCAAGCCCGTACTGAATGCCAAGATCAAACACACAAGACGTCGTGGCAGACATGTAGTGTTGAGATCACCGTCATGTGCTGTGAGGTGGTGTGCGCAATCTAACACACGACCGTGTAGGTTGCTCGCAGCTCCCTGACGTTGCCATTTGACGAGTAGGAGTAGATGAGCGAACACGTCCGAAGGTTTTTTTAAGACGAACTCGTACGGATGTCCACCAGATCCCGATGGATTTGCCACGGTGTCCCGAGGAATCGTGCGCATGTCTTGTGGAACCCTGCCGAATCCCTGGCAGGGCCTGAGGACGAGCAAGCATGAGTTCCTTGAAATACGTATGTTGTCGTACGGATGTCCTTGGGTTCCCAACCGTCCCCTCAATATGACTACTGATGCCGTGCAGTGTTAGCAGAACTCGGGGGAGGGGGCACCCTGCCGTGGGCAGCTGCCCACCACCAGCTGTGCACAACAAGCAGTGCGCAAACAGCTGGCACACCAACAACTGCGGAACACAAAACTAATACAGAACCACGGGTGCACCAGAACATATGGCACCAACCATAATCAAGTGACACAACACACATGACGAGGGGGCATGACCCCCACCTACGGACAAATAATGCAAACTAAGTGCTGATTAGTTCACTCACCTTCCGAGTACTACGATATGTTACCACATGTGCTCCATGGGATCCCGCCCCGTGCCCCATATTGCGCAACTGCCTCCCAACACCTGGTCAGGCGCCTTGGCTTGCCAGTAGGATGCGCATTCGTTTCCTCAAACTTACCCTGCCCTTGTGATCTGGCCGTCGCAGACTCGGCGACGGCCCGACTCACCTGGGAGGTTTGCTCTGGCAGGCCCCCTCCAAGCACGTCTATGGGAAATTTGCTCTGGGAGATCGGGGAAGGGGAGGAGGGAGGAGGAGGAGGAGGAGGAGGAGGAGGAGGAGGAGGAGGAGGAGGAGGAGGAGGAGGAGGAGGAGGAGGAGGAGGAGGAGGAGGAGGAGGAGGAGGATTTGCTCTGGGAAAATCGGGGCCCAAAGCGATCCCAACTCCGTGCACGTGTGGCCAAAGCTCGTGTGAGGGGGCACGGTGCCAGCCGTCATTGCAGGGCCAGCTTGCGAGTCCGTCGTCGTCGTCGTCGTCGTCGTCGTCGTCGTCGTCGTCGTCGTCGTCGTCGTCGTCGTCGTCGTCGTCGTCGTCGTCGTCGTCGTCGTCGTCCAACGATGCCCAAGCGCTCGAGTACCATGTTGTGGGCCGAGCAGAAAGCATAGGAGGAGCAGAGGGGAAGGCACGAGCAGGACAAAGAGAAGAAACAACACCAGCATGACAAATATAATGATGACGGAGGAACAGGACGGCGGAAGAGGAGCAGCGATTGGCGGAGGGCGACGATGCGAAAATGCTCCTCAACATACTCCATCTCGGGCTCGGAGTAGGATGCACCTGGAAGGCTGCGATCGTTCCCAAGAGTCGGCTCCTCCTCCTGGTCCGCAGAAGACGATGGTAGAGGAGGAAGGTGCAGGTACGCACGACAACGATGCGAACACCACGCCTGTGGAGCTCTTCGCCGGCGCTACCTGCGCAGACCCTACGCAGCCTCAACAAGAGCTCGCTGCTTCGCGCCTCGCAGGCGCGGGCCCACCCGCTGTTCTCGCTGGCGTCCGTTCCCTCCGTCTGTCTAGCTCTGAAGCCTTGACTGCCGCGCAGGACGCTCCTGGCGAGGCCAATCCCGAGCCCAGGGCAGGCAGGTCAGCACGGCCCTCCGAGACCCGGCCAGGCTGGTGCCATCGGGCCAGGGGATCGGCCCAGCCGGGCTCGGTCCGGGCTGGCCAGGCCTGTTGGATCGAGGCCTGGGATGTCGAGGACATCGTGGAAATCGGGGACATCGAGGACTCGACGTCGAGGATATCGAGGATATCGAGGAGAACTATTGAGGAGAGTCATGACGAGGGTATCGAGGATATCAAGGGTATGAAGCGATGTCCTGGCAGCGCACAACGACTTCTGAGGCAATGCCTGGGCTCAGCCTGGCAAGGAACGGTTGACCCCGAGATCGGACGTCGTACAGAGAAGCCAGCGTCGTGGACATTCATGACGGAGCTCCCAAGCTGATCCTCAGAGACGCGTCCTCAGGTCGGAACGATATTTGGTGGCCCAAGAGGAACAATGGATTTCGTGGTCTTCTTCGGGGAAATCGGACTTGAGTGTCCCACTTGGGATCATGACACGCCCATTCTAGAATACTGGTGCATCTTCATACCCGATAAATCCGAACCTTACATCCTCGGAGCTTTCGACCCCTTCCCCTGGACAATTATTTTTGTGGGGATGCTGCATGATTGTTTACTAATCCTGGGGGCCTCGAAGCGGCCTGCAAAAGTCGAACATCGGCAAAACCTCCTAGATCGATGTTGTGCCCAGGTCGCGGGGAGACCGGATCTGGGGGTCAAAAGTCGTCAGCCCCGTGACGACGGGGAGCCCCTGGCAGGCCCAAAATGGACCAATACTAGGAAACACAAACAAATTCAAACATCGACCTTGCCTTGGGTCGGGAATGCCCTCCTACAAGCGGATCATGGAAGAGCATATCCAAAGCGTAGCCCAAAGATAACCGAAACTCTTCTCCAAACTATTTTTTGATCCTTCTGCAGAGGGACATGCCCAATTTGAACCTCATCCTGGATCCTGGAGCTGCACGGTTTCCCCCGGGGCCGTAGGCGACCCGAGGAGGACGAAGAGGATGGGGGAGAAGGAGGAGGCGGAGGAGGTGGAGGAGGGGGAGGGGGAGGAGGAGATGGAGGAGGACGAGGAGGAAGAGGAGGAGGAGGAGCAGGAGGATTAGGAGGAGCAGGAGAAGGAGGAGGACGGGTCCCCTCAGCCCTTGAGAAAAACCCTCCTGGAACCCCGCTCCGCGAACGTCGCTCCTCGAGAAGCCGGCCACGACCGACGGGCGCCACGAGCAGAGACGAGCGGCACCTTTGAACGGGCGCGCCACCGCCGACTCGCCCTCGTGCTTCGTCACGGCTCCGAAGGCGCGCGCCCGGGCCTGGGGCCCCTGAGGCCGTTGTTAGCCTCTGACACCCTTCCCCCCCCCCATCCCGATGACCACCCCTTCTCCCCTTGCTTCTCCATCTCCTCCCCCTTCGCCTTCCTTTCTCCTCCCTCTCTCCTCCCCTGCAACTCTTCCTCCATCCCCTCCGCCTTGGAATTCTCCTCCTCCTCCTCCTCATCCGCAAGCCCCCTTCATCCCCTTCCCTGCCGTGCTGCTCCTGCCCAGCGTGCTTCTTCTCCTCACCCTTTCTCCTGCTCTTCCGTGCCTCTTCCCTCTCCGCAGTACCAATCGTAGCTTTCTTCCTCCAGTGAGGAGTCGCCCAAATCAACACGTGCGCAAACCCGCTTGGCTGTTTAGTGAGTGGAGGGAGGAGGACGCTAATGACAATGATGATGATGATGGGGAGGAAGAGGATGATGATGATCGATGGCGATGATTGGTGATGATGGTGGTAATGATGATGGTGATGATGACGAGTATGATGGTGATGCTGATGACGACGATGATGATGACGGTGATACTGCTGATTATGACGATAATGGTCATGAGGATCCTGATTATGATGCTGATGCTGATGCTGATGAGTATGCGTATGGTATTGTTGATGATGCTGGTGATGGTGGATCTGATGATGATGATGATCATGATGATGATGATGATGATGCCTTTGGTGATGATGATGATGATGATGATGATGATGATGATGATGATGATGATGATGATGATGATGATGATGATGATGATGACGATGCTGTGGATGCCGATGCTGCTGATGATGCTGATGATGATGATGATGATGATGATGGTGGTGATGGTGGTGGTGATGATGCTGTGATTGATGATGATGGCAATGATGCTGTTTCATGGTGATATAACAATATGGAGGAGGAGGAAGACGAGGAGGAGGAGGAGGACCATGATGAGGATGACGATGCGGTTTGGGGGCGAAATTGATAAAAGGAGAGGGTGGACGTGTACCTGGCGGCGGGGGAAGAGGGAGAGCAGCGATCCCCCCCTGAGAGAGCATTGGTTCCTAAGGGCTCGACGACTTCTCGCAAATCGACTTGTGGGATCTAGTCAAGCCAATCGCGGCAACTCCACGTGGATCCAGAGATCTCATGGCAAATCTGGAGGAACTCGTGGCCGCAGCAGCACGAGCCGAGGGCCGGCAGAAGTCGTTGAGCCCTCGAAGAACTGGAGGTCATGTTTTCCGCCCCGCGGGCCGGCGCCGGGACGACCGGGGTGCGCGGCACGACCGCGGTGGCGCCGCGGGCTGCGACGCGGAGAGCCTGGGGCGGGGGCGAGGCCGCCGCGGCAGAGCCCGGCAACGGTGGGGCGGGGGTGGAGGTGGGGGCGACGACGACGGAAGGCCCGCGGTCTCAAGTACGCCAAGCTCGTGCCGTGACCGGGGAAACCAGAAGGCACCGATACCGCTCCCCCCAGGCCCTCTCCGAGGGTGCGTCCTGACCAAACGATCGAGGCGAATCCAGCGGTGGCGACGAGGGCCTCCCAGGAGGCCCAGAACGAGGGAGAACGGCCGAGGGGCACAGGCATGGGTGCCTTTCCCTCCCCTGGAGTGACGCCTGGTGCGCTGGTGTCTGCCCCCGCGCGGGCCGTGCACAACCTCTGAGTGGTCGCGGCTTGCCGACGGCGCCGGCCGCGCAGCGCGCCGGCGTCGCCGCCGCGTCGGCGCGGCACGAGCCGCCCGCACGACGACGACGACGAGGGACGAGGGCGACGACGACGACGACGACGGCGACGACGACGACGACTAGGACGACGACGACGACGACGACGACGACGACGACGACTAGGACGACGACGACGACGACGACGACGACGACGACGACGAGGGACGACGACGCACTGCGGATGCCCCAGCTGCAGCAGACGACAAGGACAACGTGGACAGCGACGACGGCGACGGCGACGACGGCGACGGCGACGACGACGACGACGACGTCGACGACGACGCCGCGAGTGGAGACGAGAGGGGTCGCCTGCGCGCGAACTCGGGCGGGGGCGACCTGCGCGTCTGGACACCCGCGCAGGTCGCCCCGCGCCCTCTGCTCTCGGTTCCGCTGCAGTCGGACCTGCTGCGGCTCCAGCTCCTCCTCCTGCTCCTGATCCTCCTCCTCATCCTTCTCCTCCTCCTCCTCCTCCTCCTCCTCATCCTCCCCGCCCTCCTCCTCATCCTCCTCCTTCTCTTCCTCCATCCCTCCTCCTGGAAAAGAGCTCTCCCTGTCACACCACCAGACGTCTCTCGGGTCGGCTACAGCCGGACCTGGGCCAGAAGGACACTTCTATGCGTGGAGCGCGGATTCAGGAGGGGCGATACATGGGGGAGAAGGGTTGCTCCGTTCGGGCCACGAAGGCGCCCTTCTGGACCCCAAAAGGCCCCTTTTCGGCAGCCCTCGCCTCTCCCCCGTGCACCGCCCCCCATTGCCAGCCGGACCTGGGCCAGAAACACGTCCCTCAAGAACACGAGACTCTCCGCTGGACAAAACGCACAGCACACCTCCTCAGGGTGCGCAAGGACATCCGACCAGCACGAAGAGCACTGGGGTGCCCTCCCCGAACCGACCTCGATCTTCTGCCTCGGTCCGGCTGCACTCACACGAGTGACCCTGTGCAAGGGTGCCCTCTGGTGTGCGGACTCAACAAGGTGGCGCAAGGCGGCCACAGCCCGGCGCGCAGGACGCCACCATCGCATCGCCATCGGTGATCGGGGGACCCCAGCGGGCCCGCACGAGAGGTCACTCTGGCGAAGGGCCACCCTGGCGTCTTCTCGACTCTCTCGGGCGGCGTCGGCCGACCACCTCACCGATCCCGGCCAGGCCCATCCTGGGCCAATTTTTTTTCTCTCCCGGCGCACGAGATTCGTTTTGTCGTCGTCTCCCAGACCGAGCCAGGAGCCCAGGCCGAGCCAGGAAGGCGTATGCCCCTCCTGGGCCCAAAAGCAGAGCCAGGAGGGGGCCGAAGAGCATCCAAGCCCCATCCTCGTCCTCGTCCTCGTCCTCGTCCTCCTCCTCGTCCTCCTCCTCCTCCTCCTCCTCGTCCTCGTCCTCGTCCTGGTCCTCGTCCTCGTCCTACTTCTCCTCCTCGTCCTCGTCCTCGTCCTCGTCCTCGTCCTCCTCCTCCTCCTCCTCCTCCTCCTCCTCCTCCTCCTCGTCCTACTTCTCCTCCTCCTGGACCCGATCCCGGCCAGGCCCAGCCTGGGCCCAAGAGCAGAGCACACGCCTCCCCGGGCCGAGCCAGGAGGGCTGAAATGCCCCGGTCTCCTCGGGCCCAGGGGGGGGGGGCCCGGCCAGGCGACCTCCTCCTCCCTCCTCCCTCCTCCTCCCTCCTCCTCCTCCTCCTCCTCCTCCTCTTCCTCCTCCTCCTCCCTCCCTCCCTCCCCTCCCTCCCTCCTCCCTCCCTCCTCTCATCCCCTCCTCCTCCTTCCTCCTCCTCCTCCTCCTTCTCTCCTGCTCCTCTCCTCCTCCTTCCTCCCCCTCCTCCCCCTCCTCCCTCCCTCCCTCCTCCTCCTCCTCCTCCTCTTGCTCCTCCTCCTCCTCCTCCTCCTCCGACGTGTCCGCGTCATTCAGGCGGCAACTCCCTGGGCACGACTCGGAGCTGCTCGTCGGGGAGACCGAAGCAGGCAGGACTGCCGCACGCTCGCGGGGAGGCCCCGCGAGACGTGAGGCGCGCGCGCAGGTGGAAGAACCTTGCATATATATATATATATATATATTATATATATATTATTTGTTTTTTCATTGTTTTTTCCAGCGCACTTTTGGGAGAAGGAGGAGGAAAGCAGAGGGGACGAAGCGGACAGGACCGATATCCTCTGCTGTCAGCTCTGGATGCAAGCCCAACCGGCGTAAAAACTGTTAAAGAGTCTTCCGCCTGTTGCAGATTTGTGGGCACCATGCGTATGACTGATACGCGCTCGCCGGCAGCCAATCACGACGGGAGGTTTTTCATTATTTTTGGCCTCCGGGGGCCCTTACCGGCCCTCAGGACAGTCAAAAAACGACTCAGGATGAAAAACCGGTCCCGGGGAATCGGTCCGGACCTCTGGGGGTCGCGTCATGAAAAAGTCATGACGTCGGGGGTCTGGGTTGGCGGCGCGCAAAAGGGGGTAGGGGTAGGGGGGAAGGCTTCTTAGAAGCACCCTGCTTCTTAGAAGGCCTCGGCCTTACGTCTATAGAGGAGGCCCGCGCCTTCTAAGAAGCAGGGGTGCTTCTAACAAGCCTTCCCCCCTCCCCCTACCCCCCTCTGCGCGTTGCCGACAATCTCGGCGGCGACGCGCGTGCCTGCTGCCCTCCGGCCTGCAAGCAGATCGTGCTGCGGCAAGCCAGACTGATGCCATACGCATCCAGAAGAGGCAAGGGTAGACCAACTTCTTCGTCCAGACTGCGCCAGGCAAAAGTCTAGGTCAATTGAGGGGGACACACGAGAAGACACAAAAACACGTCCAGCAGGCCACATTGCCACAGGAACTTAGAAAGCATGAGTCGGAAAACGCAGGACACAAGCGTCTTCTTTGTTTTTCAGGGCCGGCCTACTGATCAACCTCGACTGTAGTATCAAGAACATGGCATGAGCAACGACCACTCCGGTCCCCCATGGGCTGCAACATGGCAGACGACAAGGGGAAGCAAGCACAATGACGTTGCAAGAACTTGCTCCCTGAGCCTGGCGGATCATCATCGGTGAGCTGCTCCGCTGCGGGCGCACCCGAGGCAGGCGATCGGGGCCAGTCGCGCAAAGTGAGCTCCTGCGGATCTCGAGCCCAAGACGGCGGTGGACGAGACAGTCTGTGTGTGGTACGGGCTGCGTGCAGAAGCCATGATGGCGGCCTGTGCCTGTAGCCACGCAACTGCCATAATGACTCCTGAGAAAGAGAACGCAGCCCAGGAGGAGGGGTAGGAGGATGAGGAAGAAAGAGGAGGGAGAGGAGGAGGCCGCCACACTGAGCCACCTTTCTTCAACTCTCCCATTCGAGGTCATGATCTTTCTTCCTCCAGACTCCTCCTCCCCCTTCCTGTCTTTCGGTTCTCCCATTTGCTTCCTACAAGTACCGCCGGCGACCCTTGGAGCAGTGATCCAGGGGCCACCTGGCACTAGTTTGATCCATGGCCCTTCCAGCTAGCAGGAACGAGAACATGAACGGGAGGAGGAGGAGGAGCAGGAGGAGGAGGAGAAGAGGCGAGTTGATTCCCCGCCGAGAGAGAAACAGGGGGGGGTCACTAATGTCAGGTCGGACATGTCCTCCTACAAACATAATCAAAACGCATGTTCAGACAACAATGGAACATGTCAGAAAATTCGTCCCCTGACTAGTTTTGCCGATTCTCAAATATTGCTCCTGTAGAGGGACGTGCCCGACTCAAAACTGAAGACCTACTTCGGGGGCGCGCAAACATGGATTAGCCATCCATGGATTTGGCGCGCCGTCGCCAAACCCATAGACCGGGGGAGGTGCCGTCCCCAAAATGCGGCCGGTGCCGCCCCGTTCTGCGGCGGAAATCCGCGATTCCTCATGGGAACGGGACCCGTCGCTACTCCACGCCCCCTTGACCCATGTTTGCGATCGCCTGGCTGTAGAGGGGCATGCCCGACTCGAAACCGAAGATCTCCTGTGCTTCACCTTCAATCGGGCCTGTCCCCCTACAGGCCGATTGTGGATGAAAGTTAACCATACTCAACAACGCGCTAAACTCGTCAAACATGACAAACAAATCCCCTGACTCAGAACTTTAAACATAGTCCCCTGACCAAACATAACTAATTCGTCAAAAAATATATCAAAATTATGCATACTCAAAAATAACCAAACAACCAACAATGCACTATTTTTTACTATCTAGAACTATTTCCCCTGTAGAGAGACAGGCCCGACTTCAGGTTCACCTGCGGCGTCTGCCCCCGGCGCTCGGAGGCGAGGTGCCGCGCGGGCTTCCACCCCCCGGTCGGCGCGCTGGCGCCAAACGCCCCCGCCCCCCTGGCGGGTCAGGAGGCGGCCTATCGCCCGGAGGGGACCTCTCCTCCTCCTCCTCCTCCTTCTCCTCCCTCTCCTTCTCCTCCTCCTCCTCCTCCTCCTCCTCCTCCTCCTCCTCCTCCACCTCCTCCTCCTCCTCCTCCTCTTCCTCCTCCTCCTCCCTCTCCTCCTTCTCCTCCTCCTCCTCCTCCTCCTCCTCCTCCTCCTCCTCCTCCTGTCCACGCAGCCCGCCCGACGGTGTATGTTTGCGGCGCGCGTTCTTGCCCTTCTGCTCCCCAAGATTGGCGGCGAGCGCGGGGGGGAAGTGAGCAGGAGAAGGCCCTCTCAGAGGGCTCGGAAGTCCCCAGCGGCCTTCTGAGAAGCTTTCTGGGCCTTCCCCGAAGACAGAAGACACTGCTCAGAAGGCGCCAGGTCTTCTGAGAAGTCCTGCCGCCTCCTGAGGAGGCCGTCTCCTTCTCGGTTCCCTCCCCCCTCTCGCCGCCGATATGAGCAAGATGGCGAGGAGAGGAGGAGGAAGAGGAGGAGGAGGAGAAGGACTCCCCCCCCCCCTCGCTCGCCGCGGAGAACATCCTGGAGGCCTCGCGTGGCAGCTCGAGACCCGACGTTCGTCGGATCCGCGTCGGATGCACGTCGGGCTCGCGTCGGACTGCGTCGAGCTCACGCCGGATCTACGTCGGACTGACGCAGGAGCTTCGACGCGCGACCGTCGACCCATAGCCTACCGAGCTGACGCGTGGACTAGACGATACAACTCTTGCGCGCCGCGCGAGGCCTCCAGGATTTGTCCTCCGAATGCTCGCACCCCCGGGGACCAAGGAACAAAAAACACCCCCATGATGCGCACCCGACGAGCGAAGCCGTTTCGTCAGCGGCGCCCCTACGGCAGCAATCAGCAGAGGGGGCAGAGCTGTGCAGCAAACGCCCAGGGCCGCCTTCAGCAAACGCCAAGTATCAGGCTCGGGGTGGCGCTCCTCCCTCGATTCCCCCATGGACCCCGTGGCGTGCGCCCCCCCCTCGGGCCCCGCCGCGCTCGCTGGGAGCGTCGTCACCTGCGGCATCGGCGGCCTGGGTCCCGCGAACAGCTGCCCTGGCGGCGCCTCGCGCCCGGGTCCAGGGGAGGCAGGCAGGGCGGGAGAGGGGGAGGAGGGGGGGGGGGCTGAGGAGGAGGGGAGGAGGAGGAGGGGGGGCTAAGGAGGAGGGGGAGGAGGGGGGGGAGGGGGAGGGGGGGGGGAGAGAAGAGGAGGAGGAGGAGGAGGAGGAGGAGGAGGAGGAGGAGGAGGAGAAGGAAGAGGCGGAGGAGGGAGGAGGAGAAGGAAGAAGGCCAGAGGAGTAAATAGGAGGAGCAGGAGAGGAGAAGGGGGAGGAGGAGGAGGAGGAGGAGGAGAGGAGGGGAGGAGGAGGAGGAGGAGGAGGAGGCGGAAGAGGAGGTGCTGTGGCATCTTTTTAAGGTGTTGGGAGGAGGAACCAGGGGAGAGATGAGCAGATCGAGAGGGATGGGATGGGAGGGGAAGAGGAAATTGGGGTGGGATGGGAGGGATGGGGTCACCACAGCAAAGGCACGAGGTGTGAACTCCCAGAGGTCCACCAAGACTTCGAGGGGATGGCGCTGGGCACCCGTGGTGGCGTCTCTGGCGCTGCGCTTGGCGCGCACGGCTCCAGAGGGGGATCTAGCGCCGACCCAAGAGATCCGCGCGGACCTCCGAAAGTTCATCCGTTTTTAGGGTGGCTCGCAACTCTCTTCCTCCTCCTCCTCCTCCTCCTCCTCCTCCTCCTCCTCCTCCTCTTCGTTCTCCTCCTTCTCTCCTCCTCCTCCTCCTCCTCCTTCTCCTCATCCTCAAAACCACCAGAATCCATACCGTATGTGACTTTTCGTTCCCCGTGCCTCTGTACCCGTCCCGCATGTTGGATCAGAGGGGAAACGGAGGGAAGCGGAGCTGTACGGAGCGCTGGGCGCAGCTGAGTGGCAGGGGAAGAGCTCTGGGGCTGGGCAGGGCTGTTTGGAGGGACTCTCGCAAGCTCTGGACGACGGCCGTTTCGGGAGCACGCGGCGCAGGATGGGAGAAGAGGGAGCACTGAGAGAAGCGGGTCGGGGGCAGAAGGCGAGGCGAGGCGATCTCTCAGCGTCTGCCCACACAGGACTGCTGCAACGGATCGCCGGGCCACTTGGAGGACCGGCGAGGGGTGAAGCGCAGGGGAAGGAAGGAGAGGAGGGGAGGGGGACGGAGGGGAAGGAGGGCGAGGGGTGAAGCGGAGGGGGAAGGAGGGGGAGGGGGGGAGGGGAGGAGGGAAAGGAGGGGAAGGAGGGCGAGGCGAGAAGCGGAGGGCAATGGTGGGGAGGGGGGGGGGACGGAGGGGGAGGAGGGCGAGGGGAGGAGCGGCGGGGAAGGAGGGGCAGGGGCGGGAGGGGGGGGCGGAGGGGGAGGGAAGGAGGCGAAATGGCTTGGGTGGGAGGAGAGGCGGGAGGAGCCGAAGGGAGGGAGAAGCGGACGGGAGAGAGAGGGGGGAAGCGACGGCGGAGAAGGGAGGAGGAGACGAGAGGGCAGCATTTCCCGCGCGTGGGGAAGAGAGAGGGCGTTACAAATCACGGCGGGGGTGTTTTCGCCATTTTCGGCCTCTAAGGGTCTTCACCAAGCACTGAGACCGTCAAACAACGACTCAGCGTGAAACGCCGGTGCTGTGGAAGGGGTCGAGACCTCTGGGGGTCGACCTGATGAAACAACGTATCACGTCGGGGGTCTGGGCCTCGTGCTTCCCATGTAGCCACCATGTCGGCGGACGCATGCCGGACCTGACAGGACGGAACCTCGACGGTATCTCACTGGGAGCTGGGAGAAATCCATACAGTCTCGCGGTCCTCCAAGCCTAGAGGGTGGGGGGAGGGGGAGGCCTGGACAACACCTTCTCGAGGAGGATTCATACATCTTTGCGCTCTGTACACGAGTGGAGGATGGGGGCAGGGAGGACCGAGGGAGAGAGGAGGGAGGGAGGGAGGGAGGGGGAGAGGGAGGGAGAGAGGGAGGGAGGGAGGGAGGGAGGGAGGGAGGCGGAGGAGGAGGTTGGATTGTTTGGGGGGGCATCGTCTCCCAATGAACTATGGCCGACACCGCCGCCTACAGCCACTGCGACCGAGGGGGAGCTCTACATACGGGGAGTCGGGTGGGCCTTACTCTCCTGGTGGGCCAACCGATACATAGTTGGAGGAGGAGGAGGTGGAGAATGAGGAGGAGGAGAAGGAACATACGAATAATAATAATAACAAACAAGAAAAAGAAGAGGAGAAGAACTGAAGAGGAGAAAAAGGAAGATGTGGAGGGGGAGGGGGGTGGGTGGACGTGTTACTTGTAGGGTCCCACCAGCCTCCCCTCAGCAGCAAAGCGCTAATGTAGCAGGCCACCCTGTACGACAGGAAGCCCAGCCACCCGTGAGACACCCTGCACAGTAAACTGCGTCCACAATACAGCTGAGCTTCTCGACGGCAGCCCGCCAAGCCACTAGGGCGAGCGCGCGCAGCTCCCGGCCACGAGCGCTGGACCCCGTCGGCGAGAACGTTCCCGCTGCACTCGCATACGGGCTGCGGGATCGGAACACACGAACGGTCAACAAAAACTGGCACCGCCCCGAACGCGACGGGCCAGCTTCCAACTGCCACAATCTACGCTCTACTCGGACGTGTGCCAGAACCACCCCAGGTAAAAGGGGAGCGGATGGGTTTGTGTTACCCCAGCTGCGCCAACTCAAGAACGCCCGAGGAAAAACAACTTAGTCAGGCACGTGCGGACTACCGAGGCCCTGCCGAT